TCAAAGTCATATTTCCTATGATATTATATCTCCTAGCTATTTTGTTTTTGTTAGTTTGATTTCTATTAATTTTAAGCTAAGTAGTTTTCAAAATAATAAGTTCCAACCTGTGTGGAGGAAGGCCATAAAAGATGAACTTTAGGCACTTGACAAGAAACATATTTGGGACATTATCAAGTTACCTAAAGGGACAAAAGTAGTTGGATATAGATGGGTTTTTTAAATTAAATATTATAGTGATGGGTTTGTTGATAGATAGAAGGCTAGGTTGGTGGCCAAAGGATTAACCCAAACTTATAGAGTCGACTATAAATGGGATTTTACACCAGTTGCCGAGATAAATTATGTTCGTGTTCTTTTGCCTAATGCAGTTAATTGTGAATGATCACTGCATCAAAGTACGTTAAAAATAACTTCTTACATGGGACCTTGAAGAACAAGTCTATATGAATATTCCTACATGCCATTCCAAAGAAAAGGAAAAATGTTTTTTATTCACATGAAAGAAGGCCTTGTATCGACTTAAGCAATCAACCCACGCACGGTATGCCAAACCCTCCTCAGTATTTATGAGTATCGGGTTTCTTAGAAGTTCAACTGATTCTTCAATGTTCATAATAAAGGGAACTTTAAGTACAACAATTGTACTCATTTATGCTGATGATATTATAATTACAAGTACTGATAAAGAAAAAATCATGAAGCTTAACAATTACCGTCACAAGAAATTTAACATCAAATCCTTGGTCAACTAAAATATTTTTTCAGCATTGAAGTAGCTGATTCAAATAAGGGACTCTTCATTTCTCAAAGGAAATATGTCCTAGACCTTTCGAAAGAAATTGGAAGAATAGGAGGCCAACTATTGACACCCCTGTTGATATTAATTGCAAGCTTAATTCAACAAATGGTAAATCTCTTGAAGATGTGGGTCGCTTTAAGAGACTTGTAGGCAAATTGATTTATTTAACTATAGCATGACCAGACACAATGTATACGGTTAGCCTTGTGAACCAATTTACACATACTCCTACATAATGTCATATGGAAGCTATCAATATGATTCTCAAATATCTTAAGTTGTTACCGGGAGAGGTATTTGAATGAAACAAAAGAGCCACACTCATATTATTAGTTTTCCTTGTGAGAGAAAATTTTAATAAAAAATTATTAGTACTCCTCACGTTCAAAGTGAAGATCAACTTGCGAAAATATTTACCAAAGCTATTGTAAAGACAAAGTACCTCTGATACTATCTAAGTTGGGCTCCATGGATATCTACACACCAACTTAAGGGGGGGTGTTGACCGTTTTAACAACAAGATATTAAGTTTTCTATCTTATGGATTACAATATATTGAGTTTCCTATTATGTGGGATTACAGTTGTAATGGGATTTATTTTCTAAAATACAAAAATTGTAACTCTATAAATATCAGGTAAATCAAAGTGATCCCTATTAATGAGATATCGCTTTATCCTCCATGAACATAGGCACCATTGCCGAACCACGTATATGCCTTGTTGATTTTTTTTTCTCTCTCATCATATTTTTCTTATTGCAAATTCTACAGTTATGAAGGGAAATTTGTTTTGAACTTTAAATCTAGTCAATCACACATTTACAATCACCTAATTTAAAATTTGATAAACAATAATGAATGCAATTTTAAACAATCAGATGGCACACCATCAATTTTTATCATAGATATAATTTGTGTCAAAAGTTTCAAATCAAGGAGATCTATAACGTTTTCCTATTGTAAAACAAAAGTGAAGGGTGCGGTTTGTATCGAGCCAAGGTACTAAACAATCAAAATAAAGTACACCTTCAAATAGTGTAGAGAAATGTGATTTTAATACTGAAAGTCTTTGTGATAGCTTTAAAATATATTGTCATCTTTAATTATAAAATTTAAAGTTTCAAAGATCGCGTAGAGTAGATCTATAAAAACTTAAGAATTTTAAAAATTGACAGTTCAAAAATACATTATAAGATGCACTATTTTCAAAATTTTGAAATCTTTTTTTTTTTTCTCATGTTCATGCTTCTTGATGTTGAGATGATCAAATTTGAGGATATTTGAACATCAAAACAACCTTTCCTAGTGATTTTTTTTGAGGTGGGTTCGGCTCTGTATAACTTTTTCCAAAAGTGAATGGTCTCCATCTATTTGTTTCCTGTATTTCCACCTGGTAGGGTATGACATAACATATACAGTAGTTTGCTTCCTCGCAATTGTGGAAACGCCATATGGCATCCGATCATGATGTCAAAATAAAATACTAATAATGTTATATCCATCAAGCAGCGTAAAGGAAAGTGGAACCTTGATTATAAATTTTATTTCTCGCTCATTGGAATAGGTCTTACAATAAGGGCAACGGGCGGTATATTAAAATAATGGCGCGTGTATCGTGATCCTGCGTATGCGTTTTATATTGCTTCCTCCAACAAAAGAATATACTTTTAATCAAAAGACTAATTATTCGTAAAGAAAAATAAACTTTTTGAGCTGCTAAAAACCTAAAATTCAAAATTAAATAGTCTCTAATATCTATGAATATTAAGATACTATTTTCAGTATTTTTTTTATCTTTTATTTAGTTTAATTCTCAGATTGACGAAGTCAAATAGTGATTCACCTAAGAGTGTGCATTGTATAATCTTTTGACTTAAAAGAATAAGGGAAACATTTTATCCGGTCAAGGGCGGACCAGAACACAATCCCATCTCCAGTTTTGAGTGTGGTTTTTCAGCTCAAATTTGGTGCACATATCCTCTTGATCTCAGTAAAGCTAATTGTGAAAAAAGAAAAGAAAACAAAAAGCCCAAAAAATAGTTTGAATGATTACGTACAAACCTTAAAATCTTTTCTAAAATTCAAAATGCTCCATTTATAAATAAAAATTATAAAGAAGCTTAGTCAATTCACTTTTTTTTTATTGTTTTCAAAATTTTCCGTCACCTTAAACCGAATTTTGATTTATTTTTTTTTTAGTTTTTTGGTCTGTAGGGCACTGCCCTAAAGCTTGGGGCATTGCCCACTAACATAAAAAACTAAAAAAAGAAAAAATAAAATTCAGACTGAGGATTCTATCATCAGACTGAGAGACATTTTTTGTAAAAATAAAAATAAGAAGTGAGTTGATCGACCTTCTTTGTAATTTCCACCTATAAATGAAACATTTTGTATTTTAGAAAAAAATTTAAGCCCATACGTAAATCACTCAAAATAATTCATTTTGAGGAGAGAGAAAAAATAGTCTACTTTTCATCCATTTTACCAACGAAAAAATGCTGTTAAATTGAGGCTCTAAAAGGAATTTGTTTAACCTGAAATTTTTTGCATTATTCATCGTCAAATGGAAAAGTGTCTTTCTAAATAACTTTTGAGTTCTCAAGAAGCTGGCTTTAGCTGCCCATAAAATGGATGGCCTGAGCTTATTATAACTCTCAAAAAACCGTTATCTATTTTTTCCTTCATGGTGCCCAAAATAGGGGATAGCAAAGTAAAGCAAATGAAATGCTTTCCAAAATGCAAAAGACTTTCCATAAAGTATAGCCATGAATACCACAAACCACAATGTAAAGGGTCCAGGGATTATCCACCTTCTTCTCCACGTGACCAACGGTGGAGATCAACCAGCGACGGAGGTGCAACTACATATTTACATCACTGCCGTATGCTTAATGTGCATCTGTTCAGCATATTATGGTGTACCGCACCTAATGTGCATGGTAATTGAAACTGAACGAGGGGTGGAAATTGAAATTGAAATGGAAAGATTACTTCAAAGGAAACATGATGCCTGGTGTTTGTATTGTTGGACGGGGGGCAACTTAGGAAAAGAAAAGAAAGACTGCGGAGGAAGAGGTCGGTGCTCGTAATTTTGAGCAAATGAGTAACGCCCCCCCCCCCCCATCCCAAATAGAGTGCGTATGTGATTTGCTCAAGAATATATGTTTCTTAACCTAAAAAAAAATCATTTTTGAGATGAGTGAAAGACAATAAAATAAAATATTTTGATAAGATTGCAGCTCTGTCAAAATAAGTAAAGTCTCACCTCAAAATTCACCAAAGATATCAAAAAACCATCAAATCAAACATCTCGACCTTGACTATTATATTGCAAAATATAATTTAAATTTCAAGTCCTAAAAATAGTGTATATTATAACATGGTATCAAGACCGTGAATTGCACCCTCAAAATAAGTGTTCAATGATCCACAAAATTTACACCATTTTTTTAATTCTGAATTCCATGGTCAGTGTTCAAAATTGATTTTAAAGCGGTCACGAAAATTTCCAATGCTCCAAGTGCTTTCCAAATGAAGATGCGAGGAAATGCTGTTGCTTTGTTTTTGTAAAGCTTAGATCTTATAGAAACTGCATAAAAAAAAATGACATGTCTCCACTCTTTGAAATAATTTCCATGAAACTCCTAAAATTCTCCAAATTAAATTTAATCATGGGCTTTCCATTGAATTGGGCAAGGGTTTTTGAACTTTCTTGAGCTCCAAGATCATATCTTAATTCGGAGTATTGTGACTTTTCAGTGCTTTTTGAGGTGGGAAATATATTATATCCAAATGAAACATGGAAAGTTTAGCTATATTACACTTTCAAAAAAAAAAAAACAGAAGGAAGTTTAGCTATATTACTAATAAAACCAATGAGGCAATGGTATAAATCCAAGGTCCTAGTCCAAGCCGAAATAAGGGGTTTAATGACGTGACGCCCAAGTCAAGATAAAGTAAAAATTCATTAAATCAATCACCATTTCAAAGTCGAGCTTTAATTTCTTGACGAATCAGTTTTTGACCTTTCACTGTTTATTTATTTATTTTTGTCCCTTGATTAACTATTTTGTACTTATCCAAATATTTGCTTTAAGATTGAAAAAAAAAAAAAGAAAAGAAAAAAAGGCCCTCTGAGCTATAAATAGAGTAGCATGCATTGGCCCCAAGCCACACCACCCTTGTTCGAGTGTTCTTAAGCGCGCTTCTCCTATCCACACTACCCTCGCATTCATTTTCTAAGCTTTTTGTGAGAAATCATGGCCAAGCTTGTGAGCCCGAAGGCCTTCTTTGTCTTCCTGTTCGTGTTCCTTCTCATTTCAGCTTCGGGTAATAAACCCTAACTTCTTCACCCTACCTTCTCTTTCTATTTTCCAAACCGCGCAAACGTATAGTCTCTTGATTTTATGTGGGCACAGGTTTGATGCAAAAAACCATGCGGTTTGAAGCAATGCATGCTGTTTGTGCTTTCTTCAGATGTTAAATAGCAAAATTATTCATAATCATTATAACGTTTTATTTTTATCATAAAAAGGTCACAATCATTCTTAATCATTAAGTGTTATATTGGGTGGCTTGCGGTGTGCACAAAGTTTTAATTTTGTTTTTAAATTTGAGTCTAGTGTACACCTCAAATCATTTAATTTAACATCTGACAGATAAGAGTGATTGTGACGTCTTTGTGTTAAAAGTAAATAATTTCTTTGCATATTTTTCTCTATTTTCTACTATCTTTTTTTAAAAGACATGTAACTTGGTCGATCGATATTTCATAAAAAACGTGAAAAATTATATTTGTACTTCATTTAGTCTGGTTCAAATTTATGCATAGGTCTATTTGTTTTTTTGTTTTTTTCCAATAGACCCCTTTTCTATTGGGTGCGGTTTGTATAGAGCCTAGGCTCTAAACAATCAAATTAGAGCCTACCTTCAATAATGTCGAGAAATGTAGTTTCAATATTGGAAATCTTTGTGATATCCTTAAAATATATTTTTATCTTTATTTATAAAACTTAAAACTTAAAAAATAGTGTAGATCGAGTAGATCTATAAAAACTTGAAAATCTTGAAAATTGACGGTCCAAAAATGCATTACAAAATACACTATTTCCGAAACTTGGAATCCATTTTTTTTTTCATGTCTATGCATCTTGATGTCATGATGATCAATTTGAAATATTTGAGCATCAAAACAACCTTTTCTAATAAAATTTTTTAGGTCGGCTCTATATAAACTTTTCCCTTTTCTATTTTAGTTTTAAAGTTTTTTGGAATATAAGTACAGGGCAGAGATTTGGATTCTCAAACCACCCTGTAATTTATACTGTTTGGAACGTATATGGTCTGAAGTCCACGATAATCAGACCACCTTGTACTTTATATTGTTGGTAATGTGTATGGTCCTGATGTCCAAGATAGCAGACCAAAATTTGTAAATAAAGAGCAGCATAGGGTGGTCCCCCACACCCCTCTCTTAAAAACTACCAATTTTATACCTATTTATGTTCAAGGTGGTCCACTGGACCACAAACATTTTAGATTTTTTTTTTTTAGCTTCTTCTGTTTCCTTGATCTCATGAGCACTCTATTGTACCTACGCTCTCAGACTTCACAAATACCAAATTTTAAAGGTTTGTGGTACACTGGGCCTTTGTAGTCGGGCAGACCACCTAGGATATAGACACTTGAAATGTTTAAAAGGTTTATGAGAAGTTGGGTTGGAAATTATAGATATCGGATCGGCTTAGTTTTGTCTTTTTAAAAAAATTTGGTCTCGTGTCTCCATAATCGGACCATGTACTTTAAATTTTGTTGTGAGAGATGGGCGGTCTGATGTTCCAACATCGAATCAATCCCTACAACTCAAAATTAACCAAAAAAAGAAAAAGAAAAAAATGTATAAAAAATTATCCAGCATTAGACTTTGGGGAAAAAAGGGTGTTTTTAAAAAAACACTCCGGTCCAATATCGTAAATATCACACAAGTGTACTTCCACATAAATTTTTCATGAATGTGGATCAGTCCATAATTATCATATTTAAAATAATACATTGTTTTTCATAAAAATAAAAATAAAATAAAGTAAAAAAGAAGAAATAAAAAACTTGCATTTCCACCGTATTGCCCCTGAAAAATCCATTTTCGAAAACTGTTCGGATCGCTACGTCACTTCTTTAACTCCGATCAAGACTAATATCAGCTAATCCAATACCATCGTACAAATTGTTCTAAAGATTATATCATCAAACAAATTCTCTCTCTTTCTCTAAATCGCTGCTTGTTTTCTATGTGGATGCAGAGTTTTCAGGTAGTGAGGCGAAACTTTGCCAGAAGAGAAGCAGAACATGGTCTGGATTTTGTGCGAACTCTAACAATTGCAGCCGTCAATGCAAGAACTTAGAAGGGGCCAGGTTCGGAGCATGCCACCGCCAAAGAATAGGCCTTGCTTGCTTCTGCTACTTCAATTGTTAAATTGAAATGGGTTTCTGAGCACTGGTAGTAAATAAGAGTGCAGTGCCCTTCACAATTCTCCCCCTTTGGATTGTGGGGGCATCCAAACTCAGTGGTTTCGGTGTGCCATGAAACGAAAACCATTGTTGTGTTCGATGTCGCATGCGTGTTGTGTTGTGTTATGTGTTGATGTATGGGCACCTGTGCCTACTATTATTACTTACTGTAATTTGTGATTGTACTTAACCTAAAAGGCCAAAAAAGAAAAAAAAAAAATAAGTGTGTTTGTGTTATTTCGTGCATCTAGTTTCTCTAGTTGTTTTTTTTTTTTTCTTTTTTTTTCTTTTCTTTTTTGGGAAAAGGTTACATAGAGCCGATGTCCTAAACAATTAAATTAGAGCCCACCTCAAAAATTTGACTAGAAGCGGTTGTTTTGATGCCCAAATGTCCTCAAACTGATTATCTCGACATCAAGACATGAGAAGAAAAAAAAAATGGATTTCAAGTTTTGGAAATTGTGCATCATGTAATGCATTTTTTTACCATTACTTTTCAAGATTTTCAAGTTTTTATAGATCTGCTTGATCTACACTATTTTTTAAGCTTTAAATTTGATATTTAAAAGTGAAAATATATTTTAAAGCTATCACAAAGATTTTTAGTATTGAAACCAAATTTCTTGATACTATTTAAAGGTGTGCGTTACTTTGTTTGTTTAGAGCTCAGCTCTATAAAAACCACATCCTTTCTTTTTTATTCAAATATAGATGGGGTTTCTATGAGCGGTGCAGTTTGCATATGGATGCGTCCGTAGGTGTAGAGGTAAGTTGCACTTTCAAATTTTATCATGGTATATAATTATAAAGTAAAATGTTCTTAGGATTATCTCAAAATCTATTTTTATATCTACTTACAAAATTTTTAATTTAAAAAATGGTTAAAATCAAGTACATCTATAAACATATGAAAATCTTGAAAATGGACGGCGTAGATAATATGTTGTAAAATGCACTATTTTTTAGACTTAAAATCTTTTTATTTTTCATAGTCATACATCTCAATGTCAAAATGATCAATCAAAAGGTTTTTTCAACATTAAATGGATTTTTGAAGGTCATCCGTAGTTCTACATTATAGGGTAGCATCCTTATATAAACTTTTTCCTTTTATGAGTTAGCATATTCATTTGTATAAATGCATCCCTCCACTAAACTCTACCTTAAACATGGAATTTGGATCCAAAATTTTAAGATTCATGATCTTGGCAAAGGTCATCATGAATATGAAGAAAGAATAATTTATAAAATTCAAAATGTGCTTCTTCATGAGATTGTTTTTTAGACCATCCATATTTGTTTTAATAGTCCAGTGGACTTTGTACAACGTCCATCTTTAAAATGGATGTTGGCGGGCAGCGGGCTCTTGCGCCTCTGACTCATGTAACACTTTTCCTTCAAATATCGTGTGGAATCTACCATGGTCACTATTTTTCAATATACAGTGTGTACATTCTTTTTGGATACGTTGTTGTGGGATTTGGACGACGGATGTTACACATGCCAAGCAGCCCTAGACGTTGAACATTCAAGAAAAGAGCTCTAACTCATGCTTTTTCGTGTACCCCTTTTTCAAATCTGTCCCTGCACTGATGCATATCAATATTTGGTTGCTACAAACCTTTTTTTTTTTAGAGATGCGGGTGGATTTTTTATTTATTTTTATTAGGGTTAATTGTTAAAAAAATGTTTTTCAAGTTAATTAAACAAAATCTATTTTTAATCAGATTTTTTAATATAATAAAAGTCCATGTTCTTTAAAAAAATTAAGTCTTTATTTAAGTCTCTATTTTTTTTCTTTTTTATTTATGAGCTTTTTTGGGAAGGTTTCTATCATATGGGTTTTATCATTTAGATTGGGACGTGGATAAAAGCATCTAAAGATAGATTTGTTTTTGGTTACTTATCATTTGGGTTATTTAGTAGGGAGATATTTTAGGAAGTTTAGAAAATAATGTGAATAGGGTGAACGTCCCATCAGAAAAATGGATTTGGTTGCATGAAAAAAGTTTTTTTTGTAGAGAGAGACCTTTTTGTGGGTTTTTCTTTTATGTTGTTAAGAGCCATATAGTCTACCTAAGCTAACTATTTCAATCTAAAATTTTGTGGTCGAATGAAGTATCACTAGGCGTCTATCTTCAAAAACAGAAAAAAAAAAAAAAAAGGGGCCTTTAAATGCTCAGATCCGACCATTCAAGAATTGGATAGACTCCATTCAATCTTAGGATTTAACTTTTTAGGCACATACAAAGTGTTTTTGAGTTTTCCATTTTTTTGTTTTTTAGAAGTCCTGATAAATTGAAGAGGTTAAATCTCCAAAATTTGAGGGCCACAAGATACTCTTGGATTGGGTTTTTATTCGAGGGAGTTAATGGATGATATACTCTAGCGTGAACATAAAATCTTTTGATATTTTTCAATATAAAGATAATTTAAATTTATTGTTCCTCTTTGTGTGGTAATCGAATAATCTCCCATCCTTCACAATAGAAACCTAATGATACATATTGAGGGAGTGTATACTACAAAATTATTTATATGTAATACTAAGACAATCAAAATCACTCCCAACCATAAACGATAAAATGTGCTAGCTTAAATCATCGCGTATTTTTTACTAAAAAAAATCTTTACAAATTTTGAGGCTAACAGACACACCCCCACCTGCCTAGCTGAGGATCATTCTGACCTCCACTTATTCTAAACTCAATTTTTTGATGTTATATTCTCAATTTGCATTTTAATAGAAAATTTTTATAAAAGGATTGTATTATTAAAGTAAGGTACACATCAAATATTCAATAGAAAAGATTGCTCTGAAATCGGAAAACCTTCATATTAGCCGTCTCGACCTCGAGATATATAGTATATAGTGAAAAAAGAATTTCAAATCCTAAAAATAGTTCATCTTGTAACAAGTTATTTATTTTCAAGACTTTGAAAGGTTTATAGAAATGCTCAATCTATACCGTTTTTTAAATTTTAAATTTCATAATGAATGTTGAATATGAATTTTCCAGGCATATTAAAGTTTCTAATAATGGAATTATTCTCTCTGCAAAATTTAGAAATACACCTTACTTGTACAGTATGGGCCGTTAATGAATGATCACATGTACCTTTGACGTCGAAATAAATAGCCTTGCATACGTCAAGTAACATAAATAGAAGTTGACCCATGATTATAAATTTTATTTCTCGCTCCTTGGAATGAGTTTACAATACCGACAACATCCGGTATATTAAATCAGGGCGCGTGTATCGTGATCCCGCGGGTATATGACACATTTACTTCCTCCAGAAAAGAATATCCTTTAAGAATTGCGAGACGAAGTACGTCTGAAGGAAATTAAACTTTTTAACTTCCTGAGTACTCAGAAAAGTAGACCATCAATTTTTTAAGAACATAAAGCGTGGGGGAGTGATTTCATACTAACTACTAATACCCAATCCACGTGATATTTATTATTAATCACTCAAACATATTTATCATTAAAAGATATTTTTAATAAAATATTTATAAAGTTAAAATATATAAATGATGCATTGTTTTGTAAACGATGGTGGATAAGTCTTTATTATACGGATCAACTTTGGTTTCAGGTCTTATCTTCAAAATATGGCCGGTATAGGCAAGGATTGTGGTTAGGAGGGGGCAGTATTAGTGAGATGTCTTCTCTGTGGAGGCCCATTTACAGGTGCAGACTGATGATTGCGAGTTACTTTCATTGGAATGTTGGTTATGGTGATAATATTTCTTTTTGGCATCATAAGTGAGTATGTGATGTCCCCCTAAAACTTATTTAACCAGAAATTTTTATTAAGGCTTTGCAACCTAATGTTAAGTTTCTTGATATAGTTGAAGTGAGTGGTTTCCATGCTGCTTGGGAAGAGAGAGAGAGAGAGGAACCTTAGATTATGGGAAGAGGGAGAGAGAGAATGGATATATGTGTTGGGAAGAGGGAGAGAGAGAGAAAGAGAATGGATTTAGGAACCTTAGATTGGTGGGGAAGTGGGAGAGATGCAATTATAGAATAAAAAAGGACACATGACGTAAAAATAGTGATGGTGTTTTCTCTCGCTTAATATAGACTAGATATAATAAAACAATTTTAAAAACTATGTTAAGGCCATTTGGTTGACACCAAATTTTAAATATATATGTTTTTTATTTTAATAAACTATCATGAAAAAGAAATTTTTTAAAATACAGGTTAGAAAGCATATTTTAGTCCAATTAATATAAGCCGTTTATTTCTGAGATACTTAGATTTAGATCTTAGAAAGTTTTTTTCCTTTTCAAAAGTTTCAGATAATTTTATTGTCATTAGATTAAAAATATTAAAAATTAAAAATTAAAATTTGATTTTAAATTTGTAAGCTTAGATCATGAAATTCACCGAGTAGATAGTCTAGATTCATTTTTTTGGGGGAAATCATTTTGACCAAAACTGGGGCACAAATTGTTTTTTAGTTTTTTTTTGGATTGATTATTGAGATGAAACAAATATGTGTACAAATACAACAAACATGGTTTTCTAGAAATGTAGGTTCTTTACCAAATTCAATCGTTAGATTGACATCGTTACATATCAGAATTAAGGATCCAAAAAATAGCCTTGGATAGGGATCCAAGGGAATGTATCGCTGTTAAGGATCCTGCAGAACGTTGATCCGGTCATGGGTGGGCCGGAACACCATTTGCACTCTCTCATTTGAATGGGGCGAGGGTTCTTTAAATTTCTTGGGCTCCATGATTAGATCGTATTTTTATGTATTGTGACTTTCACCCTTGTCGAAAGTCGTTTTTGAGGTGGGGAATATTATATTCAAAATAACACATTGACAGTTTAGCTATTTTATTAAGGATGAAGTTTGTATAAGGTTCAGGTTTTATGAAAACAAAATAAATTCTCACCTCCAATTCTCGTTTAGGAAGCACTTTTGGTAATGGAAATCTCTACGATGGATCTAAAATCAATTTTTAACACTGAAAAAAAGATTTGAAACTAAAAAAATGGTACAGATCTTGCAGATCTATAAGCATTTACTTTTAGCGTGAAATTGACAATTAAGATAATTTGCTACAATATACACTATTTTTAGAGCTTAAAATTCTAAATATATTTCACAACCTTAATGTTCACACCAAGATGATCAATGTAATGTTTTTTAATATTTGAACGATAATTTTC